CCCAAGCCTAACCATCAAAAGCGTGCAAGTGATGTGTGATGTGATCAGACAAAACGACCATTTAAGTGTTCACAGCTGGAAAATGGATAGAGGTGTCTTGAGTGAGAGGATGAAAGAACCAGAAAGACAAGAACAGAGAAAGGAAGAGATCGACACCAAGGGCATGCAGTACTGCGCAAACACCCAGTACCTGGACAGAGCCCCCCAGCCTATCGGCCGTGAGGTGCGACCCCAGGAGCTCCCTGTTGGTCACGGGAGTGGGCTGGGACTCACTTCCTTTAGGTTCTGGAGACTGGCATGATAGCGATGAGGGGAAGGGGGTGGGGGGTGGCAAAGGGCATAAGAGATGTTTTTGAAAAGAGGTGAGGGTGTAAAGAAAAAAAGAACAGAACGAGTTTAAAGAGGAATGCCTTCCATGCACAAGCAGACTACTCTAGCTAACAGGATAGAGGTGGAAATAAAAATGTGAGTGAAAAAACAAGAGAGCACGCGACATGCAGAAATGGAGAGGGAAGCTAAGCTCTTATCTTTCACTAACAGCTCTAGCCGATCATATCAAACTTAGAATGTAGCGGACTTCATTTATCCAAGTAAGGGACTGTGGCCAAAACATGGAAATACCACCGTCTAAAAGAATGACAGCTTTTGAGGAAATAACAGATCTTCAGACTAGCAAAAACTACTCTGGCTGCAGGAAGTTGTCTTGGGATTGTTGATGAGTGAAACAAAAAAAACTTTTGGCATGGTTTAAAAGAGTATCATAAAACATTGAGATAACATTATTTAAAAAATTACACTGCATGAAGCAATGTTTCTCCAGAAATAACCAAAGAAAAAAAAATAAATAAATAAAAAAGGGAAGCTGGTACTTAAAAGTAATAACTGTGGCCCATTCTTCCTCTTTTACATTAACAAGGATTTGACTGTAAAACTGAAAGTGAAATGTCAAATATAATAAATATTATCATATAAAATAAAGAAATCAATAAAATGTAAACTAAAATTATTTTGTCAAATTAACAAATAAATACATTTCAATTAGTTAATGTTAAAATGTGAACTTAATACATTAATAAATACTTTTTAAATGACTGAAGTAACGGAGTTAAAAAAATGTCAATGTGCAGTTCACACATGATTAAATTAGAAAATAAAAATTATTCATTACAAAATATAAATCATGGTTAATTTAACAGTTTTAAATATGGATATTAATCAGTTTGAACACTCTTGTTTCATTAATTAAAAAATTATTATTAATTATTAAATAAATAAATAATTCCTTCATTTTATTTTGAAGTGGCACTCAAAGCAATTGATCTGCAACTTAACACTTGACCATATACTATGAAATTGTGTAATTTACAAAAGCATTAGAGTATAGTGACTCTTATCCCACCTGGTTTTTGGTCTGTGCTTGTGCTTTGTCTCTGCTGCTGGGCTGCAGAGGTGTGTCACTAGGCATGGGTCCTATTGGAGTCGGCTGTGTAGACACAAAGGAAACTCAACATCCATGTACTTGGTTATATCATATACAAGTGGTTTTTGATATGACATCCAATTAGACTCACCAGCGGCTTGCCAACCCAGTCATATTCATAGTCAAAGACATAGCCATTTCTGTCAAAGAGGTCTGTAAAGAGTTTTCTCAAGTAGTCGTAATCCGGTTTTTCAAAGAAATCCAGTCTCCGCACATAGCGCAGGTAGGTGGCCATTTCTTCTATGAAAGGATGTCAAAGTTAAGGCAATGCACTGGAGATGAGAACACAAGATTTGTGGCCATTTGAAAAGGAATCGGCTTACCAGGGAAACTCTCACAGAGCACTTCTATAGGGGTTGCCCTTTTGGTATCTCCAATTTTCTGATAGCGCTCCTTCAGTGTGTCAGCCTTAATGAATGAAACGGGACACAACAAAAATAAGAACATTTTGGGAATCCATGAAGAAATATTGCTATCTTTTATACTATTAGCATTAGCACATACTATGTACTTACTATAGTAATTGCAATAACTAGGTAATAGGTACTACCCCTGAGTCTAACATTAAACCCATGTAGTTAACATGTAGTGCACTGAAGTAGAGCTATGCAATTAAACGAAAATGATTGTGATTTAATTTTCCTCAAAATGAAAACAAGTTCAATAAATGTTCGATATAATGTTTATGCATTAAACAGCACTGACAAACAGGAGAGACACTGTGCACAACGACACAGTCAGAAGGGTTTTTAAATCTACAAATCGCCATCATTTACCATAGATTTACTGTAGTAACACTAACTGCACTGGCCGTTCCTCGCTCTAGCCCCCGGCCTCTGCTCACTCTAGGCCGCCGCCGCTCACTCTAGGCCGCCGTGTGTGACGCTGTTTCATTGTGAAAGCGAAACTACTTTGTTTGGCTTTCCAAAAATGGACACGACTAGAAATCAGTAGTTAAGTTGTATTTACAACACTGTTCCAGAACAGTTCAACCCAAATATTCAGATGTGTGCAGCACATTTTATGGAGGACTGTTTCCTGATCCTGGTAGAGTAGACTACAATGCCGGCTGTTCTGACTCACAGA